AGCCCTGACTCAGCTGGTGAAGTTTAGTCACTCAGTCATGTCCAACTCTGTGACACCCTGGACTGTAACCCACCAGACTCCTCTGTCCATGGAATTTTCCAGCCAAGAATATTGAAGTGCGTTGCATTTCCTTCTCCACGGGATCTTTCCGACCCAGGGATCGAACCCATGTCTCCCTTGTTGGCCATCACTGGCAGGTATATTCTTTATTGCTGAACCAACAGGGAAGCCCATATGATGCATTTCCAACCATTGGAAAAGAATGGTTTATCTTTTAAAATGACTGAGCTGTTTTAGAACTCTCCTGTCTGACCACAGTTCTGACAGTCACTGGAAACAAACAGATCAGCCGTCGGGAAATAGGTGTGCTTTGATGGCTGCTGAGTCTGAGAAGTAGAATGCAGGAATCCTAGCTGAGCTGTCCTCTTCACGCTTCATCACCAGCCAGCATCAGCTGGCCAGGACCCAGCCACCGTGCTGGTGACCAGAGGGGAGGAGTGTTCTGAGAGCAGATATCAGCAGGATGCTGTGTGCCGCTCAGCTGGAAAAGCAAAAGGGAGCATCAGAAAAGTGGTACCAGCACAGACATCTCAGCAACTCTCCCTCCTTCTCCAGCCAGACTTGGAAGAAGATTTCCTGACAGGGCAACTGGCCATCTTTAATTTGCCTCCTGCATTTTAACCCCAGCATTTCCTTTCCTGTGTGTTTTTGCTTTATTCTGGACAGCATTATCTTCTGATATTGTAATTGAGGTCCCAGTCCTATGCTCAGCAAGGTGCAGCAGATTCATCCTTGCAGTAGCATCCAGTTGACCAGAACTTGCGCTTTTTTTTATCACTTAACAATGATGGCTCAGTGGGTAAAGAATCTACCTGCAATCCAAGAGACACGGGAGATACGGGTTCGATCTCTGGGTTGGGAAGCTCCCCTGGGGAAGGAAATGGCAACCCACTCCAGTATTCTTGCCTGAGAAATCCCACAGGCAGAAGAGTCTGGCAGCCTACAGCCCAAAGGGTCGCAGTGAAATATGTCATAAGCAAAGTGTCTACACAGGTCACTCCCAGCCCTGACTCGGCTGGTGAAGTTTAGTCACTCCGTCATGTCCGACTCTGTGACCCCCTGGGCTGTATGTAGCCTGCCAGACTCTGTCCATGGAATTTTCCAGCCAAGAATATTGAAGTGGACACGACTGAATATTGAAGACTCAGACAGGACTGAGCGACTAAGCACAGTGCACAGGGAAGATGCCTGAGGCTTCAGACGTGTCTGGTCGGCAAAGCCAGGTGGTTCCTAACTCACTGGTACCACACAGCTATAGCCGGAAGTAAACTAACATCAGCCATTAAACATGAGGGTCTCATGTGGAAGGGAGGGGGCAGGGCCATCGTCTCTTTGTGGGACTTTTCCTTATGAAACGTGGGCTTCAGGAACAAGGGTCCCAGAGGTCAGTCTACTTTTGATCCCAGTGAGTGACCTGGAAAGATCTGATTTTTACCTCCATTTGTATATTGTTTCCAACACCACAAAAACAGTTTCTTGAGGTCCTCTTCTTAATAATAGAGGCTTATGTCTAGAAAATACAGTGTTTTGAAATATGATTATGTGTGTGTATACATTCCCAGACTACATCCTCCCCTGAGAGCAGTGAAAATGTCATTTTTATCTCACGGAGCTGTTTGCCTTTAGGTTAAAGACTGTTCACCAAGCAGTTCCACCACCCTCACCCAATGTGTTAGGCTTCTTTGTTTTCTTGGCCTCTGGAAACCTGAGGGCCAGAATGATGGCTCCATTAATAGCCTCAGGGTGAGGGCTGGCTGTAAATTAGTGTGTGGCTACAGGCACATTTGAGTGTCTGTGTCTCCAGAGCGCAATTTTCAGACTGAAAAATAAGCTATCTGGTCACATTTTGGCTAGCACTATCAAGTGAAGAATCCTAGAGTCAGAAACTTTCTCAGTTATATTAGGTCTGTCTTCCATACTTCATAACAAAGTGATAGCGTGACCCTAACATGGTCACGGCCAAAGTGGATTTCACCCCTAAAACTTACAGGAGAGAGAGACCTCATATCCCAGTGACTGTCAATTTTATATAAATGGCCAATACAGTTGTTAATGCATGAACTGTGTCACCTAAATGAAGATGTGTTGAGGTAGGTGAGTAGCTGAGAAGGTGACCTTATTTGGAAATAGGGTCACTGCACGTGTATTTAGTTAAGATGTGGTCCTACTAGTGTGCTGCTGCCCATGCGCAGTCATGTCTGAGTCTTTGCGACCCCAGGGACTGTAGCCCACCAGGCTCCTCTGTGGGATTTCCCAGGCAAGAATACTGGAGTGGGCTTCCGTTCCTTCTCCAGGGGATCTTCCCGACCCCAGGGTTGAACCCACGTCTCCTGCGACTGCTGTTCCAGGCAGATCCTTTACTGCTGATCCTTCGGGGGAGTAGGGTGGCCCTAACCCAATATGACTGGTGTCCTTATAAGACGGTGGCCAGGGTGGGCCTCACAGTGCAGGGGACATGGGTGCGATCCCTGATCTGGGAAGATCCCACACGCATGGAGCAACCGAGCCCACGCACCACAACTCCTGAGCGTGTGCTCTAGATCTCAGGAGCCCTAGCTGCTGCAGCCCACACACCCTAGAGCACTTGCTTCACAGCAGGAGAAGCCACTGCAATGAGAAGCCCATACGTCGCAACTGGACAAAGAGCCCACACACAGCAACAAAGACCCAGCACGGCCAGAAATAATAATTTTTTAAAATAATGTGGATTAAAAAAAAAAGAAGACAGCTATATGGAGACAGACACAGGGTGGGATGGGGAGAACCACGTGACGATGAAGACAGTCAGTGGAGTGAAACAGTGCCCAACCAAGCCCCGAAGCCAGGACGGACCAGGATGGGTTTCTCTGCAGGTTTCAGGGGGAGGGCAGCCCTGCCGGCACCCTGATTTTGAATGTCTGGCCTTCGGAACTATGAGGTGACACGTTTCTGCTGTTTTAAGCCATCCATCGTGTGGCATGGTTTCAGCCGCCACAAGAAATGGAGATGACCGGCCCAGTCGACTAGACAGTGCCAGAAGACATCCCGGAATCTTATTCTGTCGTCTGTGCTGATGTCCCCCGCATGCTGCCTACTCCTCTTCCTCCCAGCCTACCCTGCGTACAGTAAGAGCAAGGAACCCAGGAATGGACCTGTAGATGGAAAAATCCTTCCTTCAAACCTCAGGAGCCCAACAGCCCTGGCCTGTGAATGGCCCACGTGGGAGAGATGGGCTCTGATCAAAGTCGGCAGTTCTTTGGGGCTGGATGAATCAAAGAAATTTCTGAGAGTTCTAAATGTGCCATTAGACACAGATACCACAGGCTCACAAAAGATCTTCATTTCTTGACCGTCTGAGCCACCAAGAAGCAACTTTGGATCTTCATTTCTTAAAATCAGTCCTAGTGGGAAAGTGACATTTCTCAGCCTACTTCATTCCCAGACTGAAACTGGTGACCTTCTTATGGCTGTTGAGCTCAAAATTTTTTTCCAGCCACAGTTGGGCTCAGGAGGAGGAAGGAGACCTGAGTACAAGCATAGCCTTTCTGGAGAGTTCTCTGAGGTCCAACACCCATCAGCCACTGAGACTGGAGATTCTGTCTCCTCTTTTCTACCAGAATCTGCCTGTCATTCTGCTAATGAAATTCACCAGCCTGTATTCTCTTATCTTTCTCTCTAGCTTCCTCGCTCCATTCCCTTCCTTATCGCTGCATAGTTAATACTAAACGTCGTGAGTGCCATTTATAAAGTGCTTCCTGTGCATCAGGCTCTGTGCCAGGTACATCAGTATTTGACTTAATGACCAAGACACAGCCTATATGATGGGCATCAGTACCCACTTTGGCTGATGAGGAAGGTGAAGTTTGGAGTTTACCCCAGGTGCCGAGTTCACCAGAGCAGGGGAGCCATGATTCCATCCTGGGTTACTGACTTCAAAGCCCACCTACACTCTTGGGTACTTGATCAATTTCTCTTGTGTCATCAGCCCTTGAATCTTCTATGGAGAAAGAGGAAAATCTCACCGCCAGTTCAACTCACAAGCAGAAACTGATGACCTGATATTTACACTTGATAAAATACAGGCTATGCTGTTTATGTGACATGATGTCCATACATTATCAACTTTTCTTTCTCAAGTCTCATTTACTGTGGGGAATAATCACTTGTCAGCTTCTGCAAGATTCCCCTGGGGTATCAAGTAGATTTCTCCTTGTTTGCTGAACTTGTCAGGGTTCTCCCAGAAAACAGAACCTTTATGTTGACACAAGAAAATGGACTATCACACATGCCAAGTAGGATGTGTTTGTGGTCATTGCCTACAAGATTGTGGTAAGGATGGAGGTCTCCAGCCAACATGGTAAGAACTCTTGGGGAAGTGGGCCAGGAACTTGATGGGACAGTGGGCCAGGGGTGTCCATCTGTGTTATAGCTTTGTGATACAAAACCCCATGAAAAGAGGAAGAAGAATCAACACCTGCCAGAAGGTCATATGAACATGTATTATTCCTTAGTCTGAGTGGCTTATAGAAATTAAGTTCCCTACTTCATTTTTTTATCTCCTATGATTATTCATTCCTAGTATACTGACTCTTTCTGCAAATAATTACTAAAAAAAAAATACAAATCATATAATCAGACTATCCATATTGATCCCAGAAGTAAAAAGAAAATATTACAAATATTGTTATTCTTTTATATTTGCTAGAGCTTGATATAAAGTAAGAAATCTATATTCATTGGGAAGATTTTTTCTTTTACTGAGCTCTCAAAATAAGAATTATTTTCTCTTGATGCAATCTGGGTTTGCAAATATATTTAAAATGGGTGTGTGTATGTGTTTGGTTGACTGGTGTAGAATGTAGACAGGCTTTAGAGATTCTGAAATTTGTTGATGCATGAATTCTCAGTCCTGTGTGTATGTTGTTTTCTTGTATTGTTCTCGTCTGTTTGTTTCTTAATAGACCAGGCATTTGGAAAGACCTAAAGACCATGGGCTCAGTATCTCTCTTTATATTTTTCATCACACTGCTTGTTCTGGGCAGACAGGTAAGAAGCTTGTTTCTTCTATAACTTCTCTAAAGTGTTGTATTAACAATACTTTGCTCCTGCACAATGCTGTTGCTTTCATGCAAACAAGTGTTGAAGTGTCAGCAGCATCATCTTATCACAAGAGAGAAGCAGGTAGCACAAGGTGCATGTGCTTGGGTGTAGCATTAGGAAAAGGTCTCTCATTGCTTCCCTAAGAGTCAGACTTTGTGAATGGTAGAAATGTGAGTCAATGAATTTCCCGTGAAGTCTCAAAATAAATATGTAGGTTTTGTAAGCCTACAAAAGTATTCCCTCAATAGCTGACATTAATTGGGAAAAATGTCCCTTGCCTGGGGTTTTCATCTGCATTTCAGAAGGTATGACTTCTTTTTCTTTGAAGTGGGTATTAACTATCCTTGCTGTCACTTACAGTTATCCCTAGAAGTACGGTCCCCTGTTCAAAACTTTTGTTTTGTAATACAAATGAAATGTCCTTCTCGGACTCTGTGCCCGCTTCTGGCCTCCCAGCAGAGCCTGTTGGGTGCAGTATTCTTTCTCTGCCTGCAAACAAGGACAACCACCCCAAAACTAAAAAGTATCCCATACAGGTAACTCTACCTCAACCAACGTTTGTTTTAAGTTCTTTGATGGGTAGCATGAAACAGAGAAGTGGTTTATCTGGAGATAACCAAGGAAAAGGCAAGGCCAGTTAAAGTATATGCACACCTCTAAGCAGTAAAGTTATATGAGAGTCAGACTGTCAACTGGGGAGTGTGGGTCCAGCTTCCATTTCTCACCAGGAAGATGCTATTAATAATCTCACGGTCAGGGCAGAGACCAAGCCTGAGACAGTCAGTGCAGCACCTAGGGACGCCGTCCATCCTCTGCTGTCTTCCGGGAGCCCACAGCGCAGCCCTCCCCAGTCTCCGGAGCGCTCCACTGTGGTCCTGATGCAGAGCTGAGAAGACCTGGGTCCCCTCATCGTCGTCCATACCTCTGTCCCTGGCACGTGCTTGGCTCTGCCTTCTCAGGCAGTTTCTCCTGCTAGAATGATCACTCAGATTGCTTTACAGCAACACATTTTCATTACCTAGAATCAAACTGAATTCTCCCAACCTTTTTATTGATCACTGAGAAAATACACGGGAAATACCACCACACAAATGTTGAATCCCACGGCTGCTCACTGATCAGTCACTCTCTGAATGATTTAAGATAAACAGTTACAAGTCTGCAGTGTTAGGACCAGGCATTCATTTAACAGGATAGTGCTGACAACAGTTTTCTTTTTTTGTCACAAATGCAGTGATAATATGCACATCTGGAAGCCTAAAGGCTTACTATTCCCTGCAAGATCAATGGTGTTCACAATTATTCTTTCAGTTCAGTTCAGTCGCTCAGTCATGTCCGACTCTTTGTGAACCCATGCTCTACAGCACACCAGGCTTATTCTTTAACCAGCACCAAAGATTCACCATGGGGAGCCAGGAGGCTGATCTTCAGTCCAGAATCACTAAGTGAATGATTTACTAAGGTCCGAAGTCTTCTGGGATAACAAGCACTATGAAGTCTGTGACACAGGGCTTCTGCATACGCTTCAGGAAATGCAGCTGTATTATAAACATATGATGTTTGAAATAAGGTTTTCAAGTGCCATAAGAATTCATGGCCTCAGAGTTATTTCTTCTCTGAATATGTTTTAAAAAATAGCACAGACACTTTGCAACTTATTTCGTTATTTGTCCTGATGGCTCCCCTGCCCTATGACCATCTTTCTGGAAATGATCACCATGTACGTGCTTTCTAAGAAAATGATTATGCTGAATATCACTCTAGGCATCTCAAAAACCTTAGTGAAGAAATAACAAAGTCCTAGACAAGAGCAACAGTACGACTCTCTGTGGTGAATCTAGTTTGTGATAGAAATGCACGCCAACCAAGGACCTCTTGAAAAAAAGAAAGCTCCCCTGTATTTCACCTGAGTTTATAGGGCAGCACCCTGCCATCAAGGGTCTGCATCATAGGTGGGCTCAGTCAGGTTATGGGACCAGGTAGTGGCAACCTGGTGCCTGAGAGTGAAGCCGAGGTCCTTGTGTGAGAGGGTTGAGGCTCAACCATACACAGATTGGGCTTGCTGCCTGCCTAAACTGACTTCTTGGCTTCTCTCGTGTTTCATTTTTCTCTGATCTTCAACCCATGTCTTCTCAAAGCCACCAGCATAGATTGCTTCTGTCATTTTAGTTTAAAACCAGCCACACCACTAATTTGCTCCCCCCCCCCCCTCAAAAAAATCCATGTAAATAATCTGTTCTCCAAGTGAGAGGCCTTGTCTACTACATACATAGCATGGTTTCCATAAATACAGAATGTGGGGAAATGTGACAGTAATGTAAAAAACTTTTAAAATATCTCTTGTAATCTTTTTTTAAAAATGCCTCCCCAGAGGAAAAGGAGTAATTTTTGTGTATATCATATATAGTTTGAATCAAACCTAATTTCAGTGAATGATCATTGTTCATTCATACTTTGAAATGTATTTTTTTTTTAAATTGCCATCTGTGCCTGAGGCCATTTATGAGTATTTTGTTTTATTTTGTGCCATCACTGGTATATCTAATCAAACTCATAAAACAAACTCCCTCCATTTAGTTCTTGGCATTTATTTGTCAGTATCTGTGCTGAAATACATTCTGCTATTTAGGCCCTTCTGTTATAGGAAGATTATTCAAGGTTATTTCATTATATTAAATTGTATACATCAGAGCAGACACAAAATGATGCCAAACCAAAGAGACCCTGTGACAGTAATTGAGCCTCTCTATTTCTACAATGTTAATAACAGCTGGTTTTTTAAAACCTTGAATTTTAATACATTATAAGCATGAATGCATATGTTTTTACCAGCAGGCACCATCTTAATTAAATGATATCAAAATGAACTTTTGTCTAAATATAATGTCATTCTCTCAGTACAGTGCAGCCTCAAATGGAAAAACACTTACTTTTCAATGAACACTTAATTACATAATTTGTGGTAGAGGAAAACTGATTTTCAGAGATTAAAGGCAAACCGCCACAAATGAACACTATTATTTTTTAAATGCAAATCATGAAATGCACTCTCTCTACTAATGTATTTTCCAATTTTCATTTATTCATTATTTATATTCTATGATGCCTCATTTCAAAAAATAATTCAAGCTACCTTTTATTAATATAACTGTGTAAGAAGCTTTTATGTCATCTTTTTTTTTTTTTTTCTTTCAAGCCTCCGGGATAACTCTTTTCTCTGTTTGTGAGGCTGGTTCCTTCTCAAATTTGCATTTTTGCATATCCGCATTAGAGGGTGAATGAGAGACAATTGGGTTAAATAAAGGGTTTGGTAGGGATGATGACAATTCTGTTTGGGGGCGTTCTTTTTTAGATTTTGTCTCATTCTTTTTATTTTCTCTTTAAAACCTCCACTCTCTGGCAGGACAAGATGCCTATTGTTTCTTTACCTCTGTGTCCTCTTGTAACAGAATGAATATTACTGTAGGTTAGACTTCTTATGGAAGAACAAGTTCAAAAAAGAGCGGGAGGAGATAGAAACCATGGAGAACTTGAACCGAGTGCTGCTGGAGAACGTGCTTCCTGCGCACGTGGCTGAGCACTTTCTGGCGCGGAGCCTGAAGAATGAGGTCAGAGAGGCGGGGCTGGTGGGAAGAGGCGGGGCTGATCAGGGGAGGCAGGGCCATGGAGAGGAGAGGCGGGGCTATGGAGAGGAGAGACGGGGCTATGGAGGGGAGAAGCGGGGCTATGGTGGGAAGAGGCGGGGCTGATATGGAGAGGCGGGGCCATGGAGAGGAGAGGCGGGGCTATGAAGGGGAGAGGCGGGGCCATGAAGGGAAGAGGAGGAGCCATGGAGGGGAGAGGCGGGGCCATGAGAAGAGGCGGGGGCTGATGAGGATGGGCGGGGCCATGGAGGAGAGGTGGGGCTATGGAGGGGAGAGGTGGGGCCATGGAGGGGAGAGGTGGGGCCATGGGAAGAGGCGGGGATGATGAGGAGAGGCGGGGCCATGGAGAGGAGAAGCGGAGCTATGGAGGGGGGAAGAGGGGCCATGAAGGGAAGAGGAGGGGCCATGGAAGGGAGGCGGGGCCATGGGAAGAGGGGGAGCCATGGAGGGGAGAGGCGGGGCTCAGATGTGTAAGATACTACGCGCATTCCTAGGAAATGTTGGGTTGGAAGGGAATGAGGGATCAAGAAACCTATGGATGGATGAACTTGTTAATAGAGAAGCTGAACTTTGATGACACTGATGTGCAGAGCCACAGAGTGAGAAGGCTTAGAACAGTGTTTTTCTATTAAAAAAAAAAAAACTTTATTTGTCAATAATTAAAGTTGACGTTGAGAAGAACTTGCCTCGTGGCAGGGGAGGGACCGGACCTTATCACTCTAGTCTGTCTAGAAGTGTGCTGGGCGTGGTCAGCCAGTCCAGGGGTCCCATTCACTTCCCTATTTCTCCTCCTGGTGTTTTCTGCGTTCAGTAGTTTATTCGGTAACTCATTTGCTTGTGGGTCGCAGATAGTGAAATCATTGCATCTATTAAGGAGAAAGCATCTGTTTTTGTTAGCAATATAAGAGCTTTGTGTATATGTCTCGCTGTCGGTTCAGTCTGTAAATTCAGCAGGTACCTAAGGTTACCCCTGCCCTGTGGTCAGGCCGGTGCTGGGCGTGGCGGGCCACAGCCCATGGGCTTGCAAAGGGTCAGACATGACTGAATGACTGCTGTGTGCCCGGCCAGCGGCCCTTCTGTCCCTAGTGTGTCTCGGTGCTCCCAGGATGGGGATGACATTTCCTCCAAAGCTACCTCATCATGGCACTATTTTCATAATTTAAGAACACACACAGAGTCATCTACAGCCTTCACCACCCCCATGGGCTCCATGGGGAAGGCTGCAGAGTGGGCTTGAACCTTGGACCAGGTGCCACCTCACTGCGACCGAAGTTTGGGAACTTTTCCAGGACCAAGTAGGAATCGGCATACTTCAATGAGACCACCTCTGGACTTGGTTGCCTAGTTTGTCATATCAAGAAAGTGAATTCCTGTGGGGGTGGGGGTGGCCCCGTCCATGTCCACATTCTGCCTGTGTGTGCATGAACCTGACTTAGGCACTGAAATGATTTTCCCTGCAGACAGCCTGCACCCATTCACCAAGCATCCAGCTTATTCCTTCATCCAGGAAACATACTCCTGACCCAGGCCAGGTGCAGCCCTGTAGGAAAACAAACAGGATCTCAGTGTCAACGTTTTACAAACTCTCATTGCCACAGACAACTCCGAGTTCCCTCACCACATGTTAGGAGTCTCTAGTTTTCCCTTAGGAACCCCTGCTTTCCTAGGCATCATTCAATTTGCTCTGTCTAGCTGCTGACCTGACTTAGCTCCAGAGGCTAGAGCTACCCACGTTGAATCTTAAATCAGGGGCATCAGGCCAATGAGACCGTCCTTGAAGTGATTTCATTCTTCATAGCCCTGGGCTGCAAAAGGTGCGTGTTCAGTCATGTCTGACACTGTGCAACCCTATGGACTATAACCTGTCAGGCTCCTCTGTTCATGGGACTCTCCAGGCAAGAATACTAGAGTAGGTTACCATGCCCTTCTCCAGGGGATCTTCCCGACCCAGGGATCGAAACTGCATCTCTTTCATCTGCTGCATTGGCAGGTGGATTTTTTACCAACTGTGCATCTGGGGCTGCAAAAGTCTCTGTACTTCATTAGACAACACAGAACACCCCTGGGCTGTGACTTCCACATTTTATTGCCAGTTTTTGTTGGTTAGGTAAATATTGGGCGGGGGGGGGAGCGGGGGTGGGAAGCTACTCAAGCAGCCGCTGTAACTGTTGGGGATTAAAAAATTCCTTGGCCATCCAGTGATTAACACTCCGTGTTTCCACTCCCAGCAGCATGGGTTCAATCCCTGATCAGGGGACTAAGATCCCAAATGCAATGAGGCCAAAAAAAATTACAGGGAAGCCTGTCAGGCTAAAGATCAGACAGGTAATGAAGGAGGTTCTTTTGCTACAATACTTGTGGAGAATCCTGAATGCAGAAAAGAGCACGCAGAATGAGGCTAAAGGAGGAGGAGAGCCTCTAGCTCCCTGCCTAAAGGATTTGAGAGCTCCCATCATGAATCTCTTTTCCAAGAAAAGGTCACTGGAAAAGACCCTGATGCTGGGAAAGATTGAGGGCAAGAGGAGAAGGAGGAGACAGAAGATGAGATGGTTGGATGGCATCACTGACTCAATGGACATGAATTTGAGCAAACTCCGTGAGATGGTGAAGGACAGGGATGCCTGGCGGGCTACAATCCATGAGGTCGCGAAGAGTTGGACATGACTTGGGGACTGAACAACAGCAATAATCATGAACCTCATAAGGGAGGGTTTTGTTTTCTGGGTTTTTCCCTGTGTTATGGAAAAACCAGAATGAACTTTGTGGCCAACCCTACAGTAACACGGTTGTTAGAAAGAGATTCCTTAGAGTGCATAGCAAACTCCTGACCTGTCCTCTGACTTCCCTATGGATGGGCTGGCTGCCTGACTTCCGTTGGAACACAGATGACCCTTCCTGTCCCCAGTCAACTCCATCCCTGGGCAGAAGAGCCCACGTCCCTGACCCAGGGGGTCTCATCGTAAGCTCGTGATCTGGGCCAGCAGGCTGAGGTTGTCGGACCTGCTGCAGCTGAACAGCGATGGGGTCTGTGCTGTTTAAGAGTGTGGATATGGTCCAGGCTCCTGGCCCGTCCTCGGTGCCAAGGCCAAATAGATGCCCCCGTGTGTGATAGCGCTCTTGCCCCTTCCCCACTGCGACACCACCCCCAAGGCTTCCCTGAGGGGAAGTGCTGATGGTTATTGAACATGCAGACTGTGGATGGGATCATTCCTGGGGGGTTCCAGACCCAAACTGGGCAAGGCAGAGCATAGCCAATGCTGCAACCAGCGAAATCCCTAACCCAAGAGCAGGGCTTCCCCAAATGAAGGAACGCCCAGGGTACCAGCTATGCATGCCCTTCCCAGTCCCCAGGGCCACTTTCCTCTCCTGCAGGGTCCCACTTGGCCACTGACAGCAAAGCTCTTGTCCCAGGCCTGGCCCTTCTTAGCTGTAGGACTCAGGCTCCATCCTCACAGAGGCTATAATTAATTTTCAAAGCAGTAATTGATGCAAAACTTTTAGAGCTGTGTCTGACATGCAGTAAACACTCAATCTTAGTTAACTTTCAAGCAAATATCCCAAACTTAACACAAAACTTGAGACCCACTGCCTCCTGGAATTTATCAAAATCTGTCCAAGGAGGCAGCTACCCCACAACTTTTCAAGGTTGGACCAGAGTGAACAGTAAAACAAACATCATCACTCTGCCCCTATGCAGAAGCATCACTTCCTTAGCTCCATCTCCTCGGGGCAGGCTGAGTGCTCACAGCTTCTGGATGCAGAGACCTGACCAAGTCTGAGCTTCTCAGGTGGTTCAGTGGTAAACAAACAAAAATAATTCTGCCAGTGCAGTAGAGGCAGGTTTGATCCCAGGGTCGGGAAGATCCCCTGGAGGAGGGCATGGCAACCCACTCCAGTATTCTTGCCTGGAGAATCCCATGGACAGAGGAGCCTGGCGGGCTACGGTCCACAGCATCACACAGAGTCCAACACAAGTGAAGCAACTTAGCACACTCGCACGAAGGTGGGACTGTATCTTTCAGTTCCACAATAAATATTAATACTCCATGGTGTTCGGGAACATTCCCTGGAAACATGACTTATGACTTCAGCTAAGACCCATGTTTTTTGGGCTTCAGAATCACTTCAGATGGTGACTGAAGCCATGAAATTAAAAGACTGTTACTCCTTGGAAGGAAAGTTATGACCAACCTAGACAGCATGTTAAAAAGCAGAGGCGTTACTTTGCCATCAAAGGTCCATCTAGTCAAAGCTATGGTTTTTCCAGTAGTCTTGTATGGATGTGAGAGTTGGACTAAAGAAAGCAGAGCGCCGAAAAATTGGTGCTTTTGAACTGTGGTGTTGAAGACTCTTGAGAGTCCCTTGGACTTCGAGGAGATCCAGCCAGTCCATTCTAAAGGAGATCAGTCCTGAATATTCATTGGAAGGACTGATGCTGAAGCTGAAACTCCAATCCTTTGGCCACCTGATGTGAAGAACTGACTGATTAGAAAAGACCCTAATGCTGGGAAAGATTGAAGGCAGGAGGAGACAGGGATGACAGAGGATGAGATGGTTGGATGGCATCACTGACTCAATGGACATGAGTTTGGGTAAACTCCAGGAGTTGGTGATGGACAGAGGGGCCTGGCGTGCTGCAGTCCATGGGGTCACAAAGAGTCGGACATGACTGAGCAACTGAACTGAACTGAACTGAAGACCAGTGTTAACAAAGAGCCTTTTGATTCTCCACCTGCCATATGCACATGCAGACAAAACTCCTCTCCCTTCAGAAGTACAGAGTAAAGAATGATTTAATGACAGTAATCCCCAAAAGATTTTGCTTTTGATTTAAGGCTGTTCACTGCACCTGTGCCCCAGGTCTGTGCCAGGAGCTGCTGTGTCCAGCCTAGCAGGCTCTTCTTTTCCCTTCCTCAGGGCACCGGTTTCCCGTAAGGTATCCCAAGGTCCTCCACCAGCTGCTG